TATAGAGAACTATGGGATATGGCAATTAATGATAAACTGACATGTGATATGAAAATAAGAAGAGGCCTATTAAAAAAATGATTTTAAGAAAATATAGAGTGTATTCTTGGAATATGTATTTCAGAGAGGGAAGGGGTATACACTGAGGGAAGGAACAATGAAGTTTTGGAGAGAAAATGGACTAATGACATTTAAAATATTATTAATGCTGGCCCTGAGGGTGATGGCGGCACTGGTGTATTATGTAATTGTATTTTATTGTGGCGTTAGGGTTATGTTAAAAATAAAATTAAAAAATAAAATATAATATTTAAGAAGATCAATGTATCTTCTTAATAAAAGGATGATTTTTTTGAGAGCAGATTGACAGCCCTGCCCCTAGGATAGGACTTTAAAGGGTTGTTATTATTTGGCTACATTCTAACATGAGCTGAATCAATTAATTTTTTTTTCTCCTTCTAGGTACCGTTATCCCCCCTCAAGCATCACTGGTTTTCTATGTCCATCTGGTGGATCTACACAACCCAAAAGATGGCATCTCTCTTGAGCACTTAGAAGTGCCAGCATCTTGCAAACGCAAGTCTGTGACTGGAGATTTTGTGCGCTACCATTATAATGGCACCCTGATGGATGGGACCCTGTTTGATTCTAGGTAACTAGCTGGGAAATTCAGATGGGATGGGGGACTGTGATTTCACATTTTGACAACTCTTCAGGACGCGCGGGAAATATCACAGGAGGTGTTTTCTTAACCTTAACAACTTCATCTTTATTGATTACATGCTGATCAATATTGTTCATAATTGGGTTGAAAAAGCTTAACTCAGACAACTCTGACAACTGTCCAACACGAATTCCCACCCCAAGTCCATCAAACTCACAGGGGTGCTGGGCCAAACTTCTCTGCGTCGGTGGGTTTCCAGATGGGTGCGCTCCTCACCGCACAAATGGTGCCGCAGCATGGATGCCAGGCCCAGTAACCTTCAGGGGGAGGCGTGTTGTACTGAGAGTCCAGGCGGATCACCTGGCATCCTCTACCTTTATTCTTACGGAAGACTATGACAGACCATTCCAACGTCTCTCATCTCACCTTGCCTGCTCCTTTAGGGGTAGGGTCAGGAAGCAACCCTCCTAACTTCAGGTTTGGAAAGTCGCGTAACAACTCTTGGGTCTTTACTCTCTCATACTCCCGCAGCCTCTCCAGTTCTCTCTTACGCTTCCACAACTCCAGTTCTACCTCAAACCATTGCTCTCCCTAGCTACTTATACCCTCTTCCCAAACTGATAACTCCTGCTCCTCCCCTTTCTGGCTCCCGCGCTCCTCCACCAGACATATTTCAAATTTCCCGCTTTGCTCTGCCCCCCCCCCATGGTCAAGTTAGGTCCATCTTTGCACCAGCACCTTCTGTCTTCCTTACTCCCTCTCTGCCCTCTTTCTCGTGGGACGGCACATTCTCTCCCGGACCTCCTTCACAGGGACTAAATCCTGAAAAAATGTCTTTCTGCAAGAACACAACAAAAGCCATAATCCATCCAAAGAGGTCCTGAGCCTTCCTTAGGGATGTTAGCACAAAATGAGTTGAAACACATCTGCTGAGGTTGCATCAAAATATGCAAAGTAGCTTTTATGAGGCGTGAACACCTTTGTTCTCCTAGATGTTTACAAACAGCCCTTTGATCATGCTTTACCATTGACCAAATTGGCTAGGGTTGATGGGAACTGGAGTTCAGCAACCTCTGCAGGACCATAGTTTCCCAGCGTCATACTAACAAAGAAATCAGTTTCCCAGCCTCATACTAACTGGGGGGGGGAGCTTGGCCTACTGTAGTTGAAATAGTGAGGGAGACCAGGCTTTCCAGCTAATATTTCTGTCACAGCCAGAGCCCCCTGTCATAATGGAATGCAGGATCTTCTGTGACATCATAGGAATTTTCTGAAGCAAATTCTCATTATGCACAAGATGCTCTCAAATATCCCTCAGATCTTGTTGATACCTCATGACAGGTTTTTATTGTGACTAAACTGCAGCACCTTTATGTTGTGCAACAGAGGTGAGCTATCCTTCGACAGGTTTATAGACAAATACAACAAAAGAGTCTCTTAGCACCTCAAAAATAAGTGAACTGCAGCCCACTTTAGTTTACACCCTATAAAACCTGTTAATCTTTAAGGTACCACAAGATTGTTCTTTTTGCAGCAACAGACTAAGATGGCTTAGTTCCTTATAATTATTTTACATGGAGAAAAAAACACTTTTCTGAGGTTAAAAACGTTTCTAGCATTCTCCTCCTTTCACCTTTCCTTCCATTATCCACTAGGCTGTGTCCGAACATTGAAATATGCTGGAGTCTATCTGGGACAGATGGAAAGGGAGGAGAATATGAAAAGACAAAGGAAATAAACAGGCAGAGAAGCTGAACAGAACGAAGTGAACACTCTCTGGTTGCTTAGACTTAATGGCTGAACTTCACTCTGGAAGCTTTTATAGGGGTGGGAGGGTATCACATGATCACGTGCCAGCCAGTTGGAAGTGCAGAAAGCAACTGTACATGTCTTGTCATATTGTTTCATTCCTTTCCTCAGCCAGCGAGGGTGTGTCCAGATGGGGTCACCTGTAGTTTGGAAAATCTGACAAGAACAGGTTCTGCTGTGGAGTGGATGCCTGAGAATAACCATCATCTATCTTCCTCTAATTCCAGTTACTCACGGAATCACACGTATGACACGTACATTGGGAAGGGTTATGTTATCCCAGGAATGGACCAGGGACTCCAAGGGGTCTGTATTGGCGAAAAGAGAAAAATCATCATCCCTCCCCATTTGGCCTATGGAGAAAGTGGGGCAGGTAGGAGAAGATTGAACAGATGGTGATGAGGAATCCTTCAGTTCTCAAAGGGGACTCAGTCTATAACTCTTATAGGTTTTGATGGTGCAAAATATACAATATGGCTTTATTTTTAAAGGACACCTAATCTATCTTACAAGCAACTCTGTTCCTTGCTAGGGAAGGGGTCTGAGGCTCCACTACTGTTTGTGTGTGTGTATGTGTATGTGTGTGTATGTTTTTTAGGATTAAATAGAAACCTGGTACTCTTGAATTTATCCAGAGTTGCTCATGCTTGACAGAATGTAGAATCCCAGTTGTCTAAAGCAGCATCATGAGTGGCTCAGAGTTTGTAAGCTTGCCTGTGACATCTTAACAGTGGAGCCAGTGGCAACTAGAGGGTATGACACTTGGAAGAAGTGACTTACTACTTTCATTTATTCTAGCAACACTCTACTAATGTAGAATAGAGCGCTTTTTTTCAGCTGTGTTTCCTGGAGTTTTTGTTTCCTTGGAAAATTATTGGGGGTTCCCCAGAGAAAATGTCAAATACTGGTAGATGAATTTCCTTTTAGAATGTCTTGGCTTCTTCACCGGTGATGCACAGCCATAAGGGAATGGCAGATGTGTTTCTGATCACATGCTTGTTTACCCAGATTAACAGTAAGACAGTACAGACCCTGCATGAGCTAAATGTGTGGCCAGGGATTATCTGAAATATGATTCCCATGGTAAACATGCAGGCATTCCTCAGGGGATGTGGAAAACATTTCTGGGAGGTAAAAAGTTTGAGGAAAACCAGTGGTGCAGACAATGAAACAGAAGTGCCAAGGAGAAATTTATTTATTATTATTTATTTAAACATTTATATCCTGCATTATATCACAGGATCTCAGAGTAACAAAATTTTATAAAATAATAAAAAAACTTAAGATACTTAAAACAGTTTAATATAAAACAACACAAAATTAAATCATTCACACATTAAAAACATGAAACTAAAACCTGCACAGACAATAATCATCAAGCCCAAATGCTGTGATAAATAAGGACATCTTGACTTGGCACTGAAATAATGTCAATATCAGTGCCAATCAAGGCTTCAAGTGGAAGGCATTCTACAATTGAGGCACCGGCAGAACAACACCCCCCCCCAATGTGCCTAACATAATGAACTGTTCTTAATAATGGGACATGGAGAAGGGCCTCTTGAGCAGATCTTAGTGATTGGTCAGGTTTATATGTTATCTAAGTTGTCTCTTATGACATCACAAGAAGTTGTGGAACACATTTTCTTGAATTTTGTAGGGACAGGAAATGTTTAGAGTCAGCTATGACCCTCACAGGACTTTTGTATCTTAGCTGTATATATCCACAAACAATATCTTCTTGTCCTTTAGGGAACAAAATCCCTGGTTCAGCTGTCTTGATCTTCGATGTTCACATCATTGACTTCCACAACCCCACAGACTCTGTGGAGATTGAGACTGCCTACCAACCTGAAGACTGTAATGTCACCACACAAGACAGAGACTTTGTCCGCTATCATTACAACTGTTCCCTCCTGGATGGCACCAAGCTTTTCTCCTCGTGAGTCCCCTACTAAGAGTTCATTGCCTTCTTGATTAAAAAGGGCACAAAACAGAAACATCCAGGAAGCACGCAAATCATAGAAGCATAGTTCGAAGTTATTCTGTATATAGGAAACTTACAAGCCTAACCTTAATTTCACTGTCGGAAGTTAAAATATATATGTATTCAAATTAACTTAGACACTTAACATTTGTCATATATTTTTCATAAAACGTCCATGAGTCTTGTCTTAAAATCTCTGCTTCCTAAAACTAAGGTGGGAATGCATTATGGGATTCTAGAATCCTAGGCCCACAACCAGAAGGCCATGTCATACAACTTTGTACCGCCTCATAATTAGTAGGAAAGGAAAGGAAAGTGTGATTTCTATAATTGTTACAGTCTGCAGAATTAACTTTTTTTAGAGTGGAATTCTTGGGAAGTCCAGTTAAAGCCAAATGGAGTTGGAACACACACAGTTCTAAAGCCAAAATTCTGCTGTTCTGCAAGTGGAACATTACAAATCCATCTGCGGTGCTCTGTAGAATCTCCATTTGTCATGTTACAAGCAGGGATTGTAAGATCTGTTAGAAAGACGAGGGCTTATGTTTGCACAAGAGTTAGTGGATATCTCCTTGCGCAAGCCCCAAAAAACGTTGATCTGCTCACACAATCAACTGTTGCATACATGGATCAAAGGATCAGATTCTGGCCTGTGAATCTAGTCACCTATTTTCACTACAATGGTCTATGTTTTGCTTTGACAGCCATGACTATGAAAATGCTCAGGAAGCCACTTTGGGCACCAACAAAATAATTGAAGGCTTGAACATTGGCTTGCTCGATATGTGTGTGGGAGAGAAACGTCTTGTTACTGTTCCTCCACATTTAGGCCATGGTGAAAGTGGTGGTAAGTAGAAATGTCAAATCCTTGATTTTGATTATTTTGATTTTCAAGCTTTAGTCTGAGAGCTAGACCACACTTCCCCCCCTCAAGGCTGCACAAGACTAGTGTCTTTCTCATTTATGAAGCTTGCCTGCACACAGCAGCAGAGTTTTTCCTGAATTTCATTGCAAGGTAATTATATTTTTTCTATTGCAGAAGTTATATTACTTTATTCAAATATATGTAATTTGTTCTGTATGCAAAGATCTCAAAGTGGAGTGTAACAAATATCATTTTAAAGTAGTTTTGAATTTTAAAACCACTCACAACCAAATCAAAACAAAATCTGAAATCCAAGAAACCAAAACCAAGCCACAGCCATTGAGACTCAGAAAACATCTGGGCTAGAATTGTTGTCTTTATGCACCATCAAATTGCAGCTGACTTACAACAACCCTAATAGGCTTTCAAGGTACAGTGGTGCCCCGCATAGCGATGATAATCCGTTCCGGATAAATCGTCGCTATCTGGAATCGTCGCTATACGGGGCAAAAAACCCCATAGGAATACATTAAACCCCGCTCCTATGGGGGAAAAACTCACCGTTATGCGAAGATCTTCCATCCGGCCGCCATTTTCGCCACCTCGGTAAGCGAGGGAACCGCGCAAAAACGCTGCGGGTGGCCATTTTGTTGACCCAGCGGCCATTTTGGAACCGCCAATCAGCTGTTGGCAAAACATCACAATGTGGAGATCAGTAAGCGAAACTCTTACTGATCACCACAATGCGATGTTTTGCCATTCAAAACATTGCAATGCGATCGCTTTTGCGATCGCAAAATCTGCATCGCTATGCGGATTCGTCGTCAAACGGGGCACTCGTTATGCGAGGCACCACTGTATGTGAAATATTTACCAGTCACCCTGTTCACCATGATTTTCCATGTCTTGACTGGGAATATGAACCCAGGTCATCTGCATACTCATCCTACTGTCCCATATACCACACTGATTCAAAGCTGAAACTAGGCCTATTTATTTGATTGTTATCTGATGAAGGGGCACTACAGTGGTGCCCCGCATAGCAACGTTAATCCGTTCCGGATTAATCGTCGCTATGGGGAAACATCGCTAAATGGAAAGGAAAAACCCATAGGAACGCATTAAACTTTGTTTAATGCATTCCTATGGGGCCCAAACTCACTGTTCAGTGAAGATCCTCCATAGTGCCGCCATTTTGGGCCCCCGGCGGGTGGCCATTTTGGGCACCCGGTGGCCATTTTGGAACCGCCAATCAGCTGTTTAAAAAAACATCGCAATGCGAGGATCGGTAAGCAAAACGCTTACCGATCATCACAATGCAATGTTTTCTTATTCAGAACATCGCAATGCGATCGCATTAGCAATCTAAAAAATAGATCGCTATGCGGATTCGTCGTTAAACGGTGCGCTCGTTAAGCGAGGCACCACTGTATTTGAAACCCAGTTAATTTAAGGTTGAGTAAGTATTCTCTGGTGTAACTGTTAAGGAAAGCACTCTTAGTTCAGGATATTTTCCCCAGCCTTGACTTTGAGTTACTGTTGCCCAGCCAGTTGTTCCCAACCTTGGATAACCCAAGTGATCTTGGACTGCAACTCCCAAAAACCCCAGCCAGCACAGCTGGTGGCAAAGACTTCTGGGAATTGCAGTCCAAGAACACCTGTGTTATTTACGATTGGGAACCACTGCCATAGATACTTAGTGGTTGGGTTATCATGATATGTACATTTTTTATTTTCAGCCCGAGGTGTTCCTGGAAGTGCTGTTCTCCGCTTTGAGATAGAGCTTTTACATCGGGAGCCAGGCGTTCCAGAGGGGTACCTGTTCATCTGGCACAGTGAACCACCAGCTAATCTGTTTGAAGCAATGGATCTTAACAAGGATGGCGAAGTCCCTCCTGAGGAGGTGCGATTCTCTTCTGTTTTAGAAAGTGTTTTAAATTGCCTGGGAGGATGGGAGGGCTTGACTTTGAGGAGAATGGGATTGGGGTGGGGCAATAAACCTTTAGTTTCTGCAGTTATCCCTGTGAGTTTTAGTGAAATAATAGATGACGTAAATGTGCATAAAATTCCCCGTTCTAGGATAGTGCCTGCCACAGGGTGCAAAAATAAACTGAAGTATGATTCTTTCTTTGGAACCATTTTTCGAACCAATGGAATTTCCAGAAATATCACCTATCATGCTTTTATTTGCTTTTCCCCCCCTCTACCTTTCTCATTATTGCTTGTTTCTGCTTTGAAACCCACTTCTTATCTTCGTCTACCACCCACCAGCTCTCCCTCTGCCTCCCCTTCCCCACATTTCCTCTCAGGTATCAGCACCAGAGGGACTGGCTGCTTCTGACACAGCTTTGCTTTCTTCTATTTGTGCATGCTCCTGCACCCTCCTCCTCAATGGCTGCATTTCTGGTTCACCACCGGCTGCTGTTTCTTTCAGATGACAGATAGCACACAAAATGCCCTCATCACCATAAGAATAATGTGCCATCAAGTCAATTCTGACTTTTTGGGGTTTACTCAGTAGTAGTTTACCATTACCTTCTTCTGGGGGTGCCCTGGAACAGTGCAGCTTGCTCAAGGCCACATGGGCTGGCCCTTCTGGGATGCACAGTGGGAACTGAACTCCCAACCTCTGGCTCCACAGCCAGATGTCTTAACTCACAGAGCGATCCAGCCAGCTTCCCCACTACAAAATACATTAAAAAAAGTATAAGCCAGAGGGAGGGGTGGAAGAGAAAAAAAATGAAACACATACCAGAGGATTAATAGTGCTGTGGAGTTGAGTTGGGAAAGAAGAGTTGCCTGCCTCTATCTTAACTCAAGTTTTGAACCGTTAAGCTTCAGACTGAGAAGTACCTCCAGATGAAGAAAGGAAGGGCAGTAATTAATTCAGTTCCCATGAGGGACGTTGCTGCATGGGAAGTAACATAACACTAAACTCCACCTCCAGTACAAAAAAAATTAACCTAGAGGTTTGTGAGGAACAAAAAGTAGTGGGAACTCATTTTTTAAAAATAGGTACAAGACAATAACATTGTCTCGATGTCAGGACACTTAATTAAGACCAATGCTTTAACAAGGAACTTAACAGCGTTACAAATACTCCATTTGGAAGAAACAATTAAAGATATACATTAAATGCTATCCTCAGGTAATAGGATCTTTTGGAATGACTAGCCTTAGACAAAGTGAAGTTAGAGACTGAGGTAGGAAAGCAGGAATAGGAGCAAAGGACACAAATGGCTTTTGGAAACAACTTATTCTCTTCCCACTTCTTTTATGTTGTATATTATGAAAATAATATATATTATTTTCATCTCTTTTATAGTTCTCAACATTCATCAAATCCCAAGTTGCAGAAGGCAAAGGTCGCATGATGCCAGGTGCTGACCCAGAAAAGGTTGTCACTGATATGTTCCAGAACCAAGACCGTAATAAAGATGGGAAAATCACAGCAGAGGAACTGAAGTTGAAATCAGATGAGGATCAAGCAAAACATGAGGAACTTTAAAAAAGAGAACTCTGGGGTTGGGCTTTTTTTAAAAAAATATATATGTCTAAAGGAATCCAGTTTGGTGCCTTTTCCCATGCTTTTGGGGACTGATTTCAGTCTTTCCTGAGAAAGACCAAACCTAGAAAAATTTACAAGGTTTTTTCCCAACTTGGTACCTCTACCTTTTTTTTTTTGAGAACTATTTACCTGAGATCCTGTACGAACAAACCCAAAGCAGGGAATTGGCATCATGAGGTGAGACTTCTCAGTCTGTCAGTTGTCAATTGCCAGGGACCAACTTCACCAAACCTGTCTCATGTAACCACCTATATTTTCTCAAGCATCCTCCAACAGCATTTTGGCCATGTTGAAAGATACGAAATTAATTCCTGTCTTCTATTTCACCAGATTCAAGTACATGTATGGTTATGTATTGTTGTCCAAATAAAATAAAAACAAACTGACTTTTGTATCAGGGAAACACAGACGGGATGATAGGAAACAAGCAAAATCAAAGAGCTTGATGTGTTGGTTTGTCTATTTTCGTGTTTTCAAAGAAATGGGATGTTTTTAAACAACTAGGAATAAAAATGGGTTTATCAAACTCATCCATCCTTGTTTTCCTGGCAATGCATATATAACAGAGTGATGTCTCGTCATGCTGACTGATACCAAATGGAGTCCAGTGTCTGAAGGGTAAGAAGTTGCTCTTTCCTTCCCTGTGAGGAGGAGTAGAGAAAGTTTGACTTGTGGGCCATGTATTGCTCTGTTAGCCCAATTGTGTGTTTCCCAAGTCTTTCCACGCCCTGAAATATTTTTTAACTTTTAAAAATACAATTTTAATTTTTTAAATTTAAAAATATTTTGTGTACAAATTCCCTTTCTACACAACACACAGGGACTCAGCACAGGAGCATCCCTCTAAGGTTTTGGGTGGATATACAATATGCAGCTTTCAGATCCATAGAAAGTGCCAGCACTCCCCTACAAGCTGCAAGAGTGCTTCCTGTGAAAGTTTTTCTAAAGAAGCAGTTTCGGAAATAGACACATATACTGCCACTGCAGTTAAGAGATTGAAGTTTTTCTGCTCTATTAAATTAACTGCTAGGGTTGTGCATTTGATTTCACTATACAGTGGTGCTTCGCTTTACGACTGCAGATCCATAGAAAGTGCCAGCACTCCCCTACAAGCTGCAAGAGTGCTTCCTGTGAAAGTTTTTCTAAAGAAGCAGTTTCGGAAATAGACACATATACTGCCACTGCAGTTAAGAGATTGAGGTTTTTCTGCTCTATTAAATTAACTGCTAGGGTTGTGCATTTGATTTCACTATACAGTGGTGCCTCGCTTTACGATTGCACCGCATTATGATGAAACCGTTTAACGACGATCTTTTTGCGATCGCAATTGCGATTGCAAAACGATGGTCTGAATGGGGGAATTTCGCTTTGCTATGATCGGTTCCCTGCTTCGGGAACCGATTCTTCGCAAATCAATGTTTTTTGCACAGCTGATTGGCAGTTTCAAAATGGCCGCTGGGTGATTAAAATGGCTCCCCGCTGTGTTTAGGGACGGATTCCTCGCTATACAGGCAGCGAAAATGGCCGCTGTATGGAGGATCTTCGCTGGACGGTAAGTTTTTACCCCATTGGAATGCACTGAACGGGTTTCAATTGGGTTTTTATTTTCACTTTACAATGTTTTCGCTTAATAGCAATTTTCCTGGAACAGATCATCGTTAAGCGAGGCACCACTGTACTGCATTCTTCTCCCTTACACACATGTTATATAAAGAGATCGAGCAGATTAAGAGGCATCCAGGGAGACTGTGGTAGCTGTTAATCCTAAACATGACACCATTTTGAAAGTGACTGCATATGTACCAGTATGTGTACTTAAAATAAAAGTACTGGACAAGGCTAGCCTAACTAGGAGCAGTGATTCCCAACCTGGGGTAACTCAGGTGTTCTTGGACTGCAATTCTTAGAAGCCTTTACCACTAGCTGTGTTGGCTGGGGTTTCTAGGAGTTGCAGTCCCAGAACACCTGGGGTTACCCAAGGTTGATAAGCACTGAGGTAGGAAATGCTGGGTGATGGTACTGAAGAGAAAACAGCAAATTTAATGATGGATCAACCATGCCTCCCTTTGATCAGGAGTACTACTACTCAGTCTTGAGAAACATCAGCAACAAAGTGTAGTAAATTGAGCAGTTGTTTCTCGCAGGGGTCCTATGCCTTCAAAATCCATTGGACATAGGTATTACCAATGCAGTCAAATTGTTACTATTGATGCAGATATGGAAGGCAGGTATTGACACAGACACAGTGGTCAGTCCTCCTGGAATGGGCAGTTCAGTTCAGCTCTGCACTTCTTCCATGTATGTGGCATGAACTTCAGTAATAAGGCTAGCTTAAGTTTAAATGTTACTTTTGTAGATCATTTCTAAGGCTGTCAACACAATTTATGAGCAGAACTAATATTTATCATTATACATTGAGCTATAGGTTAATTTTTTTATATTTTCAATCCCCATAGAAGAATTTTAGGATCTGGTGCTCTATTAGAATGTAGAAATATTTAACATATGCATTAGGATCTTTCAAGACTCAGTATGTCTTGAAAGGCAGGCAGAAAAGTTGGATTTAAATCTGCTTTAACTCTGCTTTCTCATTTTTTCCAGGCAGATGTCCTTTTGAGGATTTTCTAGCTTAAAGAGATTCTTGAATGGTTCAAACTTACTTACCTTTGAAATATTAGATATTTTAAAACCTAGATTAAAGCAGCCATTGTAGCAAAGAAAAATGTACACAGCGAAATGTTCAAAATAATTCTTTAATTATCTTTAGATGTGCCTTTTGAATGAAAAACAATTTAACCTTGTTGGCTTCTGTGGGGAAATTGTGGACTGTTTATAATTTAAAACTGCTTTGTGAAATGATAATATGGTGAAGAAGAAATCCAGTTAAAAATCTGAAGTGGGAGGAACTCATCTTAAGAGGTCTTCCTGCCTCCCCACAAAGGACAAGAATGTCATGTATTTTTTGTGCTTATACAACAGTATTCACTAACATTTCTTCCTCTGGTGTCTCACTGATGAAATTCAAGCTGGCTTTCAAATTCTCAAGAATCAGAAGGCCGAGAGAAAGTACTCTTTTTAACAATCAAAGTGAACATTGGTTTTACATTCAAACTAATGTTTGAAGAACAAAATTTTTCATGTTAAGCGTTTTACAAGCAATACAAATATTTTCTCCCCCCCCCCTTGAAAATTTAAGCATTGGATTGCCTGTAGAAATCCTGATTATGGCTTGGAAATCCTCTATTTTAGCCAGCAGTATCATTCAGATGTGATATGGTTTTAATCAGGGCCACAATGATGGGGGAGATGTATGTGACGACCACGTATTAATTTTGTAATTCTGAGAATAACAAGAAACCTCGTGTCTGCAACATAGCAAGAGGAAGTGGAATACTGAGAGCCACACATGCGTGCAGACAAAGAAGATCCCCTCTTTCCAAAGGGCAGTCTGATGTCAAGAGTAATTGGTCTGCGTGACTTCGTTTGGGGCCAGGACGAATTTAAGGATGCCATTTACCACATCCAACGTTTCATCTTTCTCCAGCACAATATCATAGGATTCCGTGTATTTCCCCCGCTGTTCTTCCACCTGCACAAGGAGGAGAATTTGCAGGGTTTATAAAGCTGACCTCATTGAGTTTATTGTATTTTACATTGCAGTTTGTCTAAACAACCTAGAAGTTGATTTTGCAAAGAGATTTAACATAGCTGGATTAGTGCATATATTATTTATAAAAGGTCTCTTCTTTGGCAGCTTATAACTTTTTAAACAAACATGGGCAGGCTATTCTGCTATCTTGTCACATGTTACATTTAATCTAAACTACCAGTGTTCTGGACTGAAAAATAATCTAAAAACTTTAAATCTGCATTGTTCAAGTATTTTTAATGCCTGTATTATATTTGCAGTTGGTTATCGTACACCAACTGCAAATATAATATTTGCAATTGTTATACAAACATATTCCAATTAAGCTCCACTAAATTGTGTGAAACAGTATCTGTTCAGATACTGTTTCACATAATTAAGTGGAGCTTACTCTAGTTTCCAAAGAAAGAACCAGGGGAAATTGTCCTAGTTGTCTTCCCTTGCTGAAACCTGCAGGATGCCCAAAATCTCCCACCTGAAATGGATGCCATCTGGCAAATCAAATCACAATTGCACCCCCACCCAGGTAATCTCAACTCACCCTGTCATTGAGGAAGCCAATCCGGAGAAAATTCTCCACATCAGCTACTCCATCTGCCATGCTGAGGTCACCCATAGAGTCTCCAAGGAGTAAGACATTTGTCCTTGTGCACAGCTGCTGGAAGTACTCTGTGTTCTTCAGGACTGTGTTGTTCTTGTTGTAGGTATGGATGAGGGGTGCTTTGAAACCTCGCAGAACTCCCTGCATGGACAACACAAAGGCAAACTTGCTGGCTCTCAATCAGAGAGAGAGAGAAGGTGCAGAATTTCTGCAAGGCATCTCTGATTTTGTAAATGAGGACCTGAAGTAAATCATAAGATCACACAATACTGCAGAATGTGATTTTAGCCTTCTTGGACCACATTTACAAAATCGTTTTTCCATAATATAAACATCAAATGCAGTACTAATATTAAACCCAGTGACTCTTTCTACAAGTTAGAGGTTGGCTAACAGTTTGTTCATCCTTCTATGAGTAGTGTACATGAATACTTCTGCTGCTATAAGTCTGAATACACTGAGGTCTATCTCGTAATACATAAATGTGTAATCATTGACACCCTTTAATTAGTTCAGTGCTGTCAAGTACATTCTGCATAAGGTGACCATTGCCAGGAATTCCTAGCTATGAAGTACTCAGACATGGTTTACCAGTCCCTTCTTCTGGTGGTACACTGGGACTTGCCCAATGCTATACAGGCTAGCTCTTCTCCCAGAAGGCACAGTGGCGTGCTAACATAGCCTAAATCTGTATGCTTTCTAATTTGGCCTAATTGTCCTTGAAGCTGTAAAAACTAGTGTTGTGGCTCTATCACTTCAGATTATGATTGGAGGTTCATATGTTTGAATGCTGCTCTACTTTAAAAAAAATTCCACACCAGATATAAAATGCAGGGATTTTTCCCAAAGCGCTGCCCGAAGACGTTGCTCTCTAAGTCTCAGGCCTTGCCGGGTAAAACGTTCGCAGTGGCGACAAGTCTGAGGGATGTGTGACTCCCCAAGACAAAATAAACAATAACGATGGCCGTCTGTAGAAGGGATCTTCTTAGAACAGGCGGCACAGCTTTTAAAAGTAACTTTCGGTGAAGAAGGTGCCTTGGAGGCCATAAAAGAAAAAAAAAGGCGGGAAAAGCAACAGTCCAAGAAATAAGGGGGAAAACGGGGGTAGGGGAGAGAGGGGAAACCCTCAGACACAGTCCAAAAACTCCCCTAATAATAAGATGAAGTAAAGTACTTCCCTTGAAGCATGAAAAGCGGAGCCAAATCCAGGAATCTTCCAGATCTTTCCAATATTTCACGGAGCTCTAGCTAGGAGACCTAACTGCAGCAGCGGAAAAAATGGAACTGAATGGCTGTTAGGGCGGGCGGACCATGAGGTCCTGGGGGGCGGAGCCAAAAGTGTTACTTTAAGCTCTAGAATGTTCCGAGGCCTTCTGCGCAAGCGCAGATTAACCCCATTAGTGTGATTTCACAGAGTCCACGAAGAAGAACATATACATTTCAATCACAAGCTTCAAAACTCCTGGCAAAGCCTGAATATTTCTGGATAACTCCAGAAGACACACAGTAGCTCTCCAGACAGTCTCGGGACAGCAACAAGAAAAGGCTGGGTATTTTTTTAGCCTCTCTCCAAGCACTCAAGTTGTGGTCCTTATACTGTTTCCATGACATGGAGACCAAGGATGCAAGCAGAAAAGTGGACTCACAGTGTCATCAAAGTCCATATAGTTGGAGACCACTTGGATATTAGGATGGAAAACACCAGCCAGGTGGATAATCTCTTCTAACACGTCACCCACACCTGCGGAGAAGATGAAGAGCGGAACTTTGTTCTGGTGAAGCTGGTCAAAGAAAATGTTGAAGCCGTCTCTGAGTGCAGGAAAAAGAAGAAATATAAACATTGAAATGGGAGAATATGCACGGCTGGTTCTAAAGTTTACAAAGGGACTATAAGCCCAGGAAGGCTATCATGATGAATATTAAAGGAAACAGGAAGGTTAAAGGCAATGTGTGAGGATTCTCTTTCTGCATGTTCTGTCTCTTCCAGATTAAAGGTGACTCCTGAAAAAAACTTGCCAGAGACCTCTCAAAAATCTGGGAGCCATAAAGAGTGTGACCACACGATTATTACTAACATTTGTGGAAATGGTATGTATGTAGATTTTTGAACAAATTCTGGAAGTTGGAAAGAGTTATGACAGTGAATTTGGAATCTATATCAGCAGGAACTGAACTCTAAGTAGGTCCAGCCCTCTTAACAATTTTAAAAGATATACCCTGTCTGTCTTGTAATCCTCATCTTGGACCAATTTTTAAACATTTCAGTTAGTTAAAAGAAGACAATATAAATGTTCAGAAAAAATGTCTAATAATGTTGAATTTAATACAAGCAGGGACATTTCCCTTTGGTCATATCAAAATAATCTGTTCTGCTCACTTAAAAGTCTTTAGGTGTCTCTAGGGACAGAGGCATGGCTAAACAGTTACTTCAGGTTTATTATTCATTAAATAGGCACAGAAACACATAACAATTGCCAAATTTAATAAAATGTCAAATATATACTGTAGTTATAAAAAGTACAACCTCCTAGATAGTGTAGTCACTCTGCTTGGTTTTAACTTAATATGTTTTAATGGCTAAATTAACCACTTATTTTCTAGGACATATCTGGAATTCCAACAAGGAAAAGCACAATTGTTAATAATCAGCTGTTTTCCTTGGGGATTTAAGCATGATTTAAAGTTTCCTTGACTTACACACTCAGCCACATGCCACATGGTGGCAGATCCATTTTTAACACTGAATGTACTCTGACAGAACAACATAGCCGATTCCCAATTCCCAATAAATAAACACATGAGATGTTGTGTTTCTACTTTACATCATTGTACATGGAACAAATAAATGAAATGGAATGTGCAAAGAGGTCTTTGGTCAACCCACTGTCCCTCACAGCTCTCCGCTCTTAAATACAAGGATAATAACAGTACAGTAGTTGTACTTAGCAAGCCACTGTTGAAGATCACTGACATAAACATATTTTTACATAAACGTACTGTTACTGACATTAACGTACTATTACATGAACATATTATTACATATACTTCTATGTAATAGCAGTCTTGTGTTAAAAACACTCCAGACATGCTCTATAAGAGCTTTTATGACTATGATTCCTGATCTTTTTTCTCTGAATAGAAAAACATTTCAGGCTCTGGTTACTCATCCTTTCTTTATGGCTTCCAATGAACGTTCTCTCCAGCATTTTTGTGTTTACAGTGGAACCTCTACTTACGAACTTAATCCATCCCAGACAATGTTTGTTAGTTGAAATGTTTGTAAGTAGAAGCTTCATTTCCCATAGGAATGCATTGAAAACCGATTAATCTGTTCCAGCCAAAGAAAAAAACACCCAAAAATAAAATAAAATAAAATAAAACACTGCAAGCCCCCTGGGGCTGCAAAAAACCAAAACAAATCGAAAACTAAACATAAACATAACCCCACCAGCCCAATCCCACCCTGCAAAAGACAAAAAAAGTTTAAAAAAACCAAAAAGGAGCACCTTACCTCCATTGCCGCGACCACCGCTGCCAGGAGGCCTCCCGGGCTCCAGCCGCCGCTGCCGGGCCAGTGCTTCTGTGCCACCGCCACAGGCTTTCCCAGAGTTTGCCGCAAGCGCTGCCTTTCTCCCCCACTGCGCGGCTTCACTACCGCCAAGTTTAAAAAACCAAAAAGCAGCCCCTTACCTCCATTGCCGCGACCGCCGGGCCAGTGCTTCTGTGCCACCGCCACAGGCTTTCCCAGAGTTTGCCGCAAGCGCTGCCTTTCTCCCCCACTGCGCGGCTTCACTACCGCCAAGGGAGGCTTTCCCAGGGCTCGCCGCAAGTGCCGCCTTTCTTCGCCACCATTCGCTGCCGGGAAAGCCTGCGTCGGCGGCGCAGAAACCCTGGAAGAGAAGCTGCGTTGGCGGCACTGGAAGCCTGAGAGGCTGAGCCCAGCCTGGATGACCGGCAGTGGTAGTTTTAGAAGCCCAGGAGGCTGAGCCTCCCCTTTCCTAAGCACTGGGGTGAAAAAGCTACAAAGAAGCAGCCTCTTCGCCACCAACGGTTAGCGAATTTAAATTTCCCGCCCTTTTCTCCTGCATTTTTTTCGTTCGTACAGTGGGGTCTCTACTTAAGAACTTAATCCAGCAGGAAAGGTTTTTTTTTCCTGTTCTTATCTTGGATTTCTGTTCTCAAGTAGAAGCAAAATTTAGCAAATGGAGCTGTTCTTAAGTTGGATTGTTCTTAAGTAGGGACGTTCTTAAGTAGAGACCCCACTGTATGTTGAAGCTCTGTTCACAAGTAGAAGGAAAATTTTGCAAACGGAGCTGTTCGTAAGTTGGATTGTTTATAAGTAGGGACGTTCGTAGGTCGCAATTCCACTGTACTTCCATACTGCTCTCTGCCAAAGATGGCCAAATTTCTACACTACAAAATGTCCACATCCACTGTAGAAATGGGAAAAATTACTTTTTGGAACATAGTTTCCAGAATTCTGCAGGTAGCATGAGCTAAGGAATGCTGGGAATTTTTGTCCATCTCTCCTATAAAAGCATTCATACTCTTTGCACTGGTGCACAGCGGTCAGCAAATCCACATACTTTGGAGCAGCTAACACACTGAAGTTCAAGGGCAGAATGCCACCATCCAGCAACAAAGAATCAGAGAAGGACCATTCCCCAACCCAAACCCTGCTCTTGAATCTGACACCCACGTCTCATACCTGAGCATCTCACTAAATATGCTGAGTTTACAATATTTAAGGGAACATCTTCTGCCTCCGTTGGTTCTAGCTGAGTTAAGATGTCCTAAAGAGATAGATTTTCAAATACCATATACAACCATGATGTAATAAATGATGAAATAAGATTCTCCTCTACTACAAACAGATTGACTGACTGATTGATTGATTTAGGATGACAACTATTTTATGCAATTCACTCCAAAGCCTTCTCTGCTGTTTTCTTTAGCAGATATAAAAATACAGACTGACAAATTTATTAGTTTACTAATTCATCAACATAGAACTCAATTTTTAACAAACCCACCTGTCTAATCTTATTGGATATAACATAAACCATCCTGGGTCAACCAGTTCTGTCAGTCTGATACACTCCCAGTTCAAATATACTGCAGCCTAGAACTTTTCTTTCTCATGGTTCAGGCCCTCGACTTGCACCATTTGTCGGACTTGGGACCTGAGGCATCTCAGACAAGAAGCCAGCTAGTGTGTTAATGCCCAGCTCTAACAAAAGGAGGGAGCTGAAAGGACATTAGCAAGGAGTACCTGCAGTAACAGGCCAGCGGGAATTGTGTGATTTCCTCAGTCTGGGCCACAAGAGTTTCCAGCCAAAGATAGCATTCACATCTGTCTCATCCTACACAACCTGCAGCTTGACAAGGGTTGGGGCTGACAGAAGGAGGCCTATCTTTTCTAAAAGCTCAACTCTCTGAATTCCCTTCCCTCAGTATAATCATTTATGCAGAGCTTGAAATTTTTACTTTGTTGAACCACACTCCCAGAATCCCCCAGCCATCAGAGTTATCTTTTCCAAGCACTACGCCAGGCCTTGCTTGTCACTCTTTGTCGATAGTTTAACTGAGTCCATAGTCAACAGTTCACTTGTGCCTACTTTTCCCTGCCTGCAGGTCTTCTGATATCTGAAACACATTCTCGCCCTGAAGTCAGATGTTACATTTAATTTGAGAAGACGCATGCCGCCAGTAATTGCACCTGAACCTCCTTTTCAACTACAAGCCAGGCAATTTTGCTGTCTTTCTTAAATCAGGAGCTGTAAAGAGCTAATAACACCCTAGGCATAAACATGACAACATACACAATCTCCCAGTGAAGTTGTGCAGGAAGTTGGAAAGGCAGAACAGAACCATACAGAGATGTATTTGGTAGCTTTTTCTGTAAGGGTATCTATGACTTACTGGAGTTTCCACTTAGTTTGTTTCTCCTAGAAAGCTATCAGTTATCATTCAGCATACTCTTTATGTCACAGCCCACATACTCTGGAAAGAGTTGGCCTAAACCTCAACTGCATTTCTAGCATTCCTCAAGACCTGCAACTAGCTAGGATTCTTATTTGGCAGTTGCAGTTCAGACCTGAACCTCCTTTCCAACTACAAGCCAGGCAATTTTGCTGTCTCTCTTAAATCAGGAGCTGTAAAGAGCTAATAACACCCTAGGCATAAACATGACAACATACACAATCTCCCAGTGAAGTTGTGCAGGAAGTTGGAAAGGCAGAACAGAACCATACAGAGATGTATTTGGTAGCTTTTTCTGTAAGGGTATCTGTGACTTACTGGAGTTTCCACTTAGTTTGTTTCTCCTAGAAAGCTATCAGTTATCATTCAGCATACTCTTTATGTCACAGCCCACATACTCTGGAAAGAGTTGGCCTAAACCTCAACTGCACTTCTGGCATTCCTCAAGACCTGTAACTAGCCAGGTATTTGGCAGTTGCACCTCAAGGCAATCCAGCTAAAGACTGCACCCCAGTCCTGTTTAAATTTCTCAGATCTATGGTACCGGGGCAGAGGATCCTTTAACAAAACAACCCAACACTGCTCCTTCTCCATCACTGATTTGTCTCCTTCTGTGCAAAGAACTTACCATTCTACCATATAGGGCAGTTTGTCTTCCACCGTCCGGTAGGGATCAATTTCAATAGGGTAATAATAATGGAGCAGATCTTTCAGCTGGAACATTGGAGAGAATCAACAAAGGGAAAGAGAGAAATTTTGTCTTGTCAGGAAGAATAAACACAGTTTTGAAGATCTAGATTTGCAGAGACAGAGTTAGATCTGCTTAGTGCTTAATTATGGCTTTCTGGTTGAAACAGACACCCATGTTTACCCTGATCTCTCTTATTATGGAAACGGGATATTTATTAATTGATGGATTTTTAAGCATAGGGTGAGGCTAACTTTCAGAAGACCCTGCCCTTTGCATCTGCAAGCCTACCAGTGAAAAAAGAGCCAGGTTTCCGAGGATGATCTTAAGATCCAGTCAGGTTCTTGTGGTTACAGGTGATCCTTCAAATAACAAGATCTAAACAACTTACAGACTGGAAAGTTTAAAACAGCATATTACACTGGGCTCAGAAGCAAACAGAGCCCACCAGAAGCAGTCTAGCAACTGTTTTGCTTACATACCATCCTTAAGGGAGTCCCATATACAATGCATTACAGTAGTCTAGTCAATGTAAAGGGAGCACATATAACTGAGACAAGATCTTCTTTCCCCAGACAGAATCACAGGTGGCCATCCAGCCTAAGTTGGCAAGTGGCACTCCTAACCACCAGTACCATCTGATCATCAACACAGAACGCCTGATCCAGGAGCACTTCCAAACTTCACCCTTGGTTCTTTTAGCGGACGTGTAACCTCATCTCAAGCCAGTTGCTTCCAAAGGTGTGCACATTTGTGTTTCTGGACTACAGCTACCAGAATTCTTTAGACCAGCAGTCCCCAAACTTGGGGGGTGCGGGCTTCCTAAACACATTGTCATATGATTAATTTGACATCTAAAGAAGTTCTGAGTGAACTATCTTATACAGCTGTGATATACAAGCTGTTTAAAAGTTAAAGAAACTTCCATCTATTCCTCTCAGAATGACATTGTTACAGCTGGGGTTCTATGTGACAAAAATGATTAGACTGTCTTCAATAATGGAACAGAACTTGTGAAAGAGTTTCAGGCTGACAGGTGAAAGGGTAAAGCAGTTGTTGAAGGTTGCCACTGAAATTTGATTTTTTTCCTTTCCCTGATCAACATTTGCCAATTTCCATGACCCCCATTCAAATACTATGCAGTAATACTCAAATTAGAAAAATTCACTTTGCATGGTGAAGAGTAGGAAGTTCTAGTTGACTGTGAAATCCAACAGCAGCA